CAAAGATCTCCTGCTGGACAATATCGCACATGTAGTGAAGTCCGACAAATCGGACCAAACACTATTCAGAACACTTGATCTGCGATACGCATATTCACAAATCGCGTTGGATAAAACAACACGAGAACAATGCAACTTCAGTCTAATTGGGGGAAATGCCACCGGAACATATCAATTCCAAACAGGATTTTACGGTCTTACGGATATGCCAACAGAGTTCCAAAAAGCAGTGGATCTGACACTCACAGATTGCAGCAATACATATGCATACCTTGATGATAATCTAATCATAACAAAAGGAACACTCGAGTCTCATCGACAAAAACTCCAGACGGTGCAAACAAAACTCAACGAGGAGAATCTTGAAAATTTGTTGGACCATTGTAAATTCGCATGCAAACAAGTTGAGTGGTTGGGCTATACCATCAATAGTGAGGGAACCAAACCACTCATAAGGAAAACCGAGGCAAGTGAAAAATTATCGCCTCCCAAAACATTTAAATAACTCAAAAGTTTCATGGGGTCAATTCATCACCTTACAAGATATATACCAAATTTAGCACAAACAGCAGCAGTCTTGAGACCGTTACTAAGAAACGTTGAAAAGAGCAGACCTGTTAATTGGTTACCGGAACACAACTCAGCTTTTAAAAACATTATACAACTCGTGGCAAAAATCACATAAAAAAAACATTTTGATCAACATCTAGAAACTCGCATTGTCTGTGACGCATCTAATACAAGTTTAGGTGCAGCGTTAGAGCAACATTCAACAGGAGGTTGGGTAGCTATAGCATATGCGTCACGTTTCTTAAATTCCCTCGAGGAGAAATATTCAGTGAATGAGTTAGAATTACTAGGGGTTGTTTGGGCAATCGAGCATTTTAAAAATTTTTTGTACGGCAAACATTTTACTGTCATCACTAATCATCAAGCATTAATTAGCGCATTAAACGCCAGCGAACGATCAAAGACAAGTCAAAGCTGTCTCAACCGCTGGATTGATAGATTAATACCATTTCATTTTGCTATCAAACATCTCGCAGGGAGTAAAATGGGATTAATTGACTATATGTCACGAAATCCGGTTGGATTACCCTTACCTCCCAGCGAGTATGATGAGGAATTTGTAGTTGCGGCAATTACCACATTCATAAACAACTTGGAAATGATTGACAATGTCATCCTAAATCAATTGGCCAATCAGAACAAAGCACCATATGACCTGATCAAAAAACGCGCGGAAAATAAAGGGCTATTAGCTGCTAGAACAAACGCTCAATTAACAACTGAACATTCCAAACATTCCACCAACGGTCAATCGCTACCCAAAACCAGAATTCAGTCTAACTCAAACTCTTTTCAAGATCAGTCAATATTTCATTCAGTTCAGAATCAGTCAACACTCTCACAGTCAAAAATTCTTCAACTCAACGAGCGATTGATCAGCACGATAAAATTCCAAACCATGAGTCGAAAAGATACGGTTTCATCCCGAAAGATTTAAAGACAAACAAACCACGCGGTCGTGCAGTTTCGGTCGATTGGACGAACACTTCAGACCGAGAAGAGAGTCTCTCCGACCCAAGGTGGCACAAACGACCACCAACAAAGGACAAACAAATGAAGAAAAACAAATCATCACCGCAGCGCCCACCAACCACAAAAGTGATCGACGCAACAAATTTGATCACAGGAACGAAAACTACAAAATTCCCAAAGATTATCTTTGGAGACACCAAAACAGTAACAAAAAGAGGCAGCTCACAAACAACTGTGCCACTGATAACTCAGGCAACAATAGCTACAAAAACAACGCTGCAAAACGAGATGGAAAACGAGAAATCATCCACATCAGCTCAAACAAGTAGTAACACCGAAATTCAACCGATGGGACAAGGAATATATGTCAGCCGCGTGGATCCTAATGTATGTCTACAAGAGGAAACATCACCCAACGTGGAACCCCCGACAATGACTACTTCACTACAATTCAAGGCTAGTCACACGGAAGTAATGGACACCGTGGTGGCAATTGTGGAGAAAGCCACTGAAACGGAGGAGGACACGCTTTTATTTCGGCGTAAACTGCAAAAAGTGCTGGGAATCCCATTCATCTCCGCCGCCACCGAGAACGACAGAAACTTGCGCCCACTGATAAATTTCGTCAAGAAGCGGGACTGGGATGCCATCAAAGCTTCATACGGCCAGTACTGGTTCAATGTACGAAATCGCCTCCATGTTCGAGAAGACTGCCTTCTCGTCGATGAAAGGATTGTAATCCCTTCGCAACTCCGACAAACAATACTGGAGAGCCTTCATCTCACACACCCGGGATCGGCAGCCATGTTGGATCTGAGCCAACATGTCTGGTTTCCGCACATCCATCGCGCAATTGTGCAGATGGCACAAAACTGTAGACAGTGCGCGGAGCAAGGTAAACATTTAAAACCCATCCGAGGCAAAAATTTGTCATTCCAAATGGAACCGGTATTCTAACCCAATGAGGAAGTATAATTAGATTTTGCGGGGCCCCTACCAGACGAACTAAATAGAGATGCTTACTTTCTAGTGGCAATAGATAATTGGTCAAAGTTCCCGACAACAAAAGTTGTTTCAAACACAACAGCAGATATTGCAATCAAATTCATGCAACGATACATTTCTAATAACGGGGTACGGCGTAGATTGAGATGTGACCAAGCTCAAACATTCCGAGCAAAAAAATTCCAAATTTTCTGTAGGTCAAACAATATAAAACTACTTTTTGCGCCTGTAGATGATCATAGAGCTATTGGGGTTGTTGAACGGATGATCCAAACAATTAAACGTAGATTAGCGGTAATGAGAATAGATCAAACAAATTCACCATATAAATTAGCTTCGGATGTCGCAGAAATAATCAAAACGCTGAGAATTACACCTCACGGTGTCACAAAAATCGCTCCTTTTGAAGCACATATGGGTAGAAAACCAAACACACCATCATCAAACATAGCCACAAATAGCTCACCTAATAACTTAAACTGGGAAAACGCAAAACAAGCATGTTTAGATCGAAAGAACCTTGAAAAGCCGCCGCTACCAGCAGAAGTCATGCATGACCTCGAAAGATGGTCAGAGGACAAGTACAAATTCGCAAGAAAGTGACACAATTAAAAGTCCCGCATAACTCAATACCGAGGACACTCGAAAACAAACACTCATCGCCACAGCCAGAAACAGGTGCATATACAGAATCTATAGAGCTAGCAAAAAAAAACAAATTTAATGTAAGATATAAGGGAGTACAAAGAACAGTCAATAAAAATATCAAAACACGCTTAGATCAAGTGGCACGAAAAACCATTCGGATAGCAACCAAAGTAAGAAAAAAACCCAAAACATTTGAACCAAATTACAAAACAAAAGACGGAAAAATTCTCCTATAAACACCACATACTGCTTGGGTACAATCTTTTGGCAAACAACCAAGGCTTCTAAGGAATAGTGGCACCGCCTTTGTCCCTAATCCGGTAATAAACGGACCTTGCAGACCTTCTCGTTTGAGTGTTTACGTTGCATACAAATCCGCACGGAGAACAGGACCATGCTTAAGTTTTTTAGACATCAACAATCCACGAGCTCCACAACACCCTATGTTCAAGGAGGACACCCGAACGGGGCTACCAGTGAAATTGTCAAATCAGGAGAAACCACAAGGACAGGGCACGAAACCAGCCCCAGGAAGAGGAAACCAGCCCCAGGAAGAGCAAAACCAGCCCCAAGAAGAGCACTGGGAAAACGAACCGGAGGAAAGCCCACAAGAAACTTACTAACCTCAAGAGGAATGAGTCTCTAAACGGAGACCGAGAAGACAACTAATCCAGAGAAAGAAGACGATCTGTCGTCCACATCGGAGGAGAATACTTCACCCTCACCGAAGCGACAAAACCAAAAAATAACACCGCCTGTAATCGCAACAAGGAAATCAACAAGAGCCCGACAGGCGACTTTAGCAACAGCTTTAGGAAACCCTATCCCAATCAACACTATACAGAACACAAACAAAGCAGGGACGAAGCATTTTGAAATCGATTCACCGCCCGAGAAAACACCAGATCACCAAGCCTGAAATTTTTAATTCATGGGATTTTCCGAAAAAACGCAAATTCATTCAGGCAATTAGTCCCAAGCATAAAATAAACGTTATAGATTAGGTAATTGATCTAACTTCACCAGCGGAGGCCGATGACGGAAAGATGGACAATGATGTTATATGTTGCGAAAATTCGAAAAATATTGAAGATCCAGAAAACGAACAACTAACTAGTGAAGAAGAACACGGAGCAATAGATTACATCAATGAAAACGTCATGAGAGTACAAAGAGGAGAGATATAAACAACACAGGCTAAACAGTCCTACGGGGACTCAAAAACTCAAATAAAACTTTACCATTTTTCCCGAGGAGGGGGAATGTCATCCGGCATGGATAGACAAAACTCCATACAAAACTTATTATGTGTTTATATATCATTTATGTTTTGATATTATATAACATTAATGTGTACTGGTCGATTGACCTTGATACGAGAACGGCGTCTGACGAGAACTACGGTTCAGAGAATAATTAACGCTTACGAAAACAAGTTGTTTTATCTTATCTCTCTCAGCTCGATATTATCTGTTTATCTATCCATACGGATTCAATAACCAACTGTTCATACCCCGAGGAGTTGACGGTATGACAGGGCTTTTCAAACCCTGAAACCAATCACGCTACGTGTAACAATCTCCACCCCCACCCTATGGTATCTACTTAAGAATCTCCACCCCTCTGAGTAAATACAGCAAGTTAGCACTAGAGCTTTGTATTGAGAATTTTAATTTTGCTGCATTTTGATTGGTCGAAAATTGTTAAGAATATCCCAAATCACAATTTTTTCTCTTAAAAAAACTTATTTAACCTAGCGTGTCAGCGCTCAATTATGAAAAAAAAAATTCTGTATAGCCATAAACTATATTTACAAATTAACACGACAAAGTTGTTCTCAGTTAATGATTTAAACGAATGTAGCAAATGATCCATATGAGGATAATGAGTAAACATGACATATGGCACAGAATGGAGTGGGTGGATGATGGTCGAATGAGTGAATGAATGAAAGGAAAACTGTCCAATTAAGAAAAGGCAAAGTAATGAACTAAACTCAAATTAAACTATTATGGAATGCATGATAAATCAGTTGATAAATGGTTCAAAATCATTATTAAATTACATAACAAATACATCATCTAAATAATTGTTAAAATAAAATAGCAATAAACGCCGTTAACATTTCTAAATTCTTCCGTATCTAAATCTATGGCTAATGGAAAATATTGAAAATTTGCAAAAATGAGGTCAAATAAAATGAGGTCAAGCATCTGAGGGCATGTTTTTGTTTTATTGGTTCTCAATATTTGAGAAAAATTTCGGCAACTTTAGATTTCTGTTTCCATTTGAACTCCATTTCTACTTCTTTGAATCTGAAAGGTGCCCAGGTTGAAAGTAGTCGCCAGGTTCTGCAGAGTTTCGTCGTCAAAAGCCGACAGTCGCCCACCAGCGCCCTGCTGCACCAAACTACCGAAGTCACAATTTTGGGGTTCTCTTGAGGCCACCTGATTGGCTGCTGTTTGCACGGCGAGAGATTGTGCGAAGTTGCCGAATGGAGCAATCTGATTGGCTAACGACTGACTCATCAGCTCAGAGGTAGGGAGAAAAGCAGAAAGAGCGTTGAGTGAGTTGTTATTGATATTGTTATTAGCACTTGAGAATTGTGGCTTAACTTCATTGTGAGTCATTCGTATCGGAGCAGCCGAAGTGGAAGACTCCAATAACGAGCAGTCAATTACCGATACTTTATTGGACGCCGATTGACCCGATGACGTCATGACTTCCAAGCTCGGCTTCTGATTGGCCAATTCGGAAGTTGGTGAGAGATCCACGACTTGAGCTTGTTCATTCGGTGAGGTCATGCTCTCACTGGTGGCTGGCGAGTTGCGACTTCGGCCGCCTTGCTCGCCGCTGTCTTCGTTGCTACTCGGGCACTCGCTTAAATTCTCCCCCAGGGACTGCAGTTTTTCTATCTTCAGTTTAGGGTCCTGGTCCCGTCTGAACAGCAGCCAGGGTGAGTTAGGGTGAAGTGTCTTCACGTGTTTCTGGTACTCTTCCTGGCTGGTAGTGGTGTCGCCACAATCCTAAACAAGTTTCAAATTGCCAGCATACCGAAATTCTTAAACTGACATCACTAATACTAGCACTATCATGTGTAACTTCAACTCCTTTAAATACAACGAGATCAAAACATTCAGAAAAAAATTATGAAAAAAGGTAAGTCGCAAGATATTATGTTTATTATTCAGATGTTCTTTAATTCTGATCGAGTGTTCACAAACTGATATTTAAGACTGTACTCTGTCTTACCTCGCACACAAACAGCTTCGACCTGCGCTCCTTGAACTTGAAACTCTGTTTGACATCGTGCACTTTGGCCAGATGAGACTCCAGAGAACACCTTTGGGTGAAACATTTGGAGCAGAAGTCACACTTATACGGCCGTACACCTATAACACACAAAAACATTCATACTTTTCATTTGATCATTGAACAACTAATGATCTCGGTAGCTCCTGAAAAACTGTTGCTGAAGTTTTGTTTGTTTTTTAGTTCCAACGGTTTGATTTTTGCTGAAAGTAAGAAAAGACCTACGATACAAAAAAGTTTTTTTTTTGTAAACATGTTTTCGGTTGATACTCAAAGTACGGTGTGAACGAGACTATAAAAATGTTGAATTTTTTTTTCATTGCGAGGAAAATAAAGCCGATGTTTTTGCAACTATCTCAAAGATGACAGTAAATTTCAAACTTACCTGTGTGAGTTCTGACGTGTCGCTTGAGGTCGAAGGTGTCATTGAATCCTTTTTTGCACCAGGGACAGGGGTACCTCCTAATTGGACTGTGACACTTCAGATGACGGGTGAGCATCCTTTGCAAAGCAAACTCCTTGCTACAATGAGGGCACTTGAAAGGTGCTTGCTCTTGTTGGTACTCCGCGTTTAACGACTGTGACTGCCTGTCGAAATTACTATCAGCTCCCGGACTCGAGAACTCGCTGTGGGGGTATCCTACAAACCCATTGCTGGCCATTGGTTTCTCTTCGGGAATTGAATCCAGACTTCGTGATGTTCCTGGTGGACCTCCAGTTAAACTATCCAAACCTTGGCCAAACACTCCACTGGATCCCAAATCTGTACTGGGGAAGTTGGGTGCCATGTTTTGATAAAGAGACGCCGCTGAAGTTCCGTTAGTAACCGGAGCACCAAAAGCAGTGGGCGGAGGTCTGATCAGCGGTTGGAGAGTGTTAATTTGAGGTATCAGAAGTGACTGGTAGTATTGCTGAAGGGCTAACACTTGGCGTTGCATCGCGAAAGTGTCATACTGTTGTTGAGTGGCGGTAAGCGCAGGTGGCTTCGGCACGATGCTTTCGGCTACCGAGAGCTCTCCCATTGATGGGCAACTTGAATGTGCTGTAGATTGGTTGTTCAAAGGAGTTCCGAACATCGGTTGCTGTTGAATTTTTGGCGATGGTATTGCCGAGAATGGAAGCTGTTTGATCGTGGACAAGTCCAAGCTGTGTGGTCTTTCATTTTTGACGATATGCGGCGTTACGTGCAACTTCGATATCGGGCTATTCGGGTCGCTCGCAGCATAGTAACTCATAGGTCGACGCGGTGATTTCATCTCATCACTTGGCAGTTTTCGAGTAGATGTCACTTCGTCGTTGAGATTGCTGTCTGAGGAGTTTTGCGTGCCCTTTGCTGACCCTGGAAAGGAGTCCAGATTGGGCGGAGTCGTAGAACTGCATCCACTTCGTAAGTCGAGGGGTTTTGAGTCCGCAAACACTGTCGGCTGGTTCTCGGTTGAATCTGGCGAGAGATTGTGCTCTGTGGCCTGGTAGGCTGCCGATGATACGGAGCTCCCAGTCGATTCCGAAGGTGATTTATGACCTCCATGATCTCCTCTTCTCCCGACGATCTGCTGGTCGGAGCAATGTTGAAACAATTCCTCGAGACATTCGCCATTCTTCTTGAGACTATCTAGTCGCAAAATCTAAAATCAAAATCGGAAAGTTAAAATTGACTAATGAGTTTTTAAAATAGTTGTTTATTGAAATTAGGCAACCGACACCTACAATTACTATTTTGTAATCTGAAAAGTCATTTAGATTACTCGGAAAAATTTCTCTCGAAAATGTCAAAAATTTTCCGGTTTAGCTGCTAAAAAACTCAATAGGCGGCTCGAATTTACTTTAGTTCTGATAACGTCCACTGGCTGAATTGCGCTGCTGTTCCTGGATCTCTTAAGGAGGAAGTCTGGATCGGCGAACACCGGCTCACGATAATGACCGAAGTTTTTCATATTAATCAACAACGCCACCGCAAACTGTAATTTTCAATAAATTCGAACAAAAATGTTCAACTTGAAGAGATTAATGACAGCGAGTAAGAGCAAACAGCAAGTAAAACTGTTAATTAATTTAAGTTTGTAACGAAAACAAGAAAAATCGAACAGCTCAAAAAATATTACTATTATATACAATATAGTAATAAATTTTCGCGTAATGGACTGTTGGTATCGTCGTCAAGGTGTAACGTGTACTTCGGCGACTCGCGACAACAAGTGCGCGAATGAGCGAAACAACGAGAGCGTAACTGGTCTATAATTTTAATCGTTCGGATTGTTGTAATCAATCAAGTTATGAAGAAAGTTTCTATTATTTTCGCGGCGGTTGATAACGTTCAAAAATTGACCGCTTAGACCATCAGCTGCTATCATTTATTTGGGTGATGAGATCCGGATTATAAATGACAAAACTCGAAGACACGAAAGCAGAGCAAACATAACTGATGAGAGAAAATGGCTCCAAAACAGTCTTATTTGGTACATTTTTCAAATACTTTCGATCTTATCTACTGGACTCAACTATCAAAACAGCAAGGAGTCAAAGTATAGAAGTTATATTTGTTATATTTGCTATAACAGTTTAAGACAAGTATCATCACAAAGTCTTGCATCTCGTTTTCTTATTTAATGTTCGATTACGAATCATTTATGACATTTTGTTGGTCTGACTAAATTTACCGTTGCAGCCGCCGTATAGTTTACAAAGTAAAAACGTCAAAAAATTCAAACTTCAATTTTAGAATGATGTATATAAAAATGATAGATACAGTTTTTGAATTTTAACGTTTATCAATCTGTAATTTCATCTGGTGAAACGTTGTGTGGTGGTACGTTATGTTTCTTGAGTTTCACAACGTCATTTCTATTTTTTACCAATATGGCTTTTTTGCCATCAAGCGAATGACAAATTATCAGGACTAGAATCGGTTATTGACCCGAGCAGCCAACCATAATTACTGAGACTAGAATCGCGTTCGCACCAATATGCCAAAGTAACTTGAGCAATCAAATCATAGGATGATTAAGTGCTCCATGCAAACAAGATCCGTTGGGTAAACTGACCTAGAGACCCCAAATTGAGGTCTGGTCTCTAGATCGACAACCTAAAGAGCAGACTGACTTAATTTACTAAGATGCATTTCATGTAGACACTTTCTAAAGATGTTAATAGGTATCTCAAACCTCATTGATGACAATTGTTAGTATGTTTAGCTTTTGCCTGATAGCATTCTTGTTAAATAACTGTGTCTTTGTTATACGACAACTCTTTGAGATCTCTGCATTTCTGTCAATAGAACTCTGGATTTATGTCTGCTTCTAGGAGTGTCACGTAGTTGAAGTGTTGGCTGATTTAGCAGCAGCCTGTTCTCTCTTATTCGGACATTGTGGACTCGATGAATGTTTGATTTTGAGGGAGTAAGATCTCTTCATATTTGGGCTGACTACTCAATGATAAACATAACAGTAGCTAAACCAGTTGGCGAACGATGTCCGATTCTAATAAGATATATCGAGAGAAGAGAGAGAGAGAGAGAGAGAGAGAGAGAGGGTGAGATTTTGAGCAAACAACGATTCGCTCTATTCTGTCTATCTCTATCTGCGTTTCTGTTAATTTGTTTCTCTCATTACTTTTTGGTCTCATTTCAAGAGATCTTAGGTCAGGTCCTTTCTTCAGATTTTCATGACAACGAGAAATATGAGACTGGGATTTTAAAAGTGGGATAGAAAGGGTGTGGTTTTCGTTTATAAGTGCGATTCCGAGACCACTTGAAATAAAAATGAGGTACTTCAAGTGGATGATAACAAAACAAAAGCATGGAATTTGTTTTTTATTTTGCCTCAGAAGTTTTCTTTAAACTGAAATGATCAAAAAAAATCATTTCATCGGCAAAACTTAGAAGCTTACTTTAAAATACTTTTCTGTCTGCATTTTATTTGGGACCATTTGCAGCTTTTTTTGGATCATACTGCTAGATGGTTTTTAACAGGACCATACCAAAGGAGTTCTAAGGTTGTGAAAAGATTACACGAGAGAACACTGACCTGTGCCAGTTTCTGCCGGAGTAGGGCTTCCAGATCCAACAACTCACACTGGGTGGAGGCATCTCGAACTCTCTTCTCTGGCATACAAGTGGAGCTATCTAAAAAACAACAACACTATCTCATCAAAAAAGAAACACTCTCGATAATGAGTCGAACAAGAAGGAAAAACGTGGACGGAGAAGCAATGAAGTAGATATTAAGAAATAAATTTATTTTGAAAAAATTTATTTAAAATTTTTTAAAGGTATGAAAAAACTGAGAATGTCAACTCATTCCGTATAAAAAAACAAGCGTTGATTACAGTCAAAATACTTTTGTTTTCTTGTTACTTTTTCATGCTAATAAAATGGCTGGAAAAAACTATTAAATTAACTGTATTCTATCAATAACCAGTCTTGTTTCGCATTTTTTTGTTTTAGGTTATTATGGTGCTTAACTTTTTTTTGAGTTTCAGCACAATTGAAAAAAAGCTTAGATGAATGAAAAAACTCACTGCCATTTTGCGATATAGTTGTTGCAAAAACCAGGTATTTTTGAAATGAGATGAGATGAGTTTGTAATGAGTTTCAGGAAATGAGTTGTATCTATGTGACTTTTTCTGACAACTTCTAACTTATTAAAATCGGTTACTAACCAGAGTCGTCAGATTGGAGCATCAAGAACTACAACGGTTAGTTTTTTCGCAATAAAGTGATGTTACTTGATGGTTGGTTTAATTGCTAGATGGTTGCTTAGCGCTTAGAGAGTGATTGATGATTGTGTTATTTAGCACGCGGGATCAAAGTGACTTCTGTTAAAAAGTCACTTCACTTGTGTTTTTAGTGGGATTATCGATGACTTAATTTGCAGTTTTATTCGATTCTGTGAATATTTTTGAAATCAAGTTTATCATAAATTACTTGCCTAGTACAACATTTAAAAAAAGTTTTCGATGCAAATCTTCTCAAAGCCAAACTTTCTTTACGTAAAAACCAAAAAATAGTTTGAAGTTTGACTTCACAAAACGTTTCAAAAATGGTTTAAAATGACCTAAAACTACACATATACTACTACACTTACACACACACACACCCTATGTAGGTTCTGCAAAAGGTAAACATTTTTATTTGTTGTTTCCTTGTGACCGAGCCGAGTTAGTGCGATAAATCGTACCGGCCATGTTTCAGCAATGCCAACTTATTTGCGCCCAATTGATAATTTTGCACCAAATTTGTCCAAGGGATTAAAAACATCCAAATTGTTTGAGACCCGGACATGTTACGTAAGAGCTACGTAATGAGGTTTCAAAAGTTAGGTCATTCTGTCAATATAGCGCCTGTCATTGTGCAAATTTCACATCTGATAAGAACAAATCAACCAAAATTTTTGAAACGCAGCTTAGACTTTCCAAACATGCTGTTAAAAAATGCTGTTTGTATTATGTTTTTGATCACTTGTAGAGTTGTTTAGTTGAACATCTTAAAAATATATTTTACTTTGCAATTCAATGCTAAATCTGAAAAAACAAAACGTTGTTTTTTGTTCGAAACGAGCTGAAACTTGATTTTTGTTCATAACTGCTAACTTAAAAAGCTATGAATAAATAATAGTTAAGTGACTTTTTGAATTAAAAGTCATACCAAGGACATGAAAACTTTTTCGATGGTATGTTGTCAGCGGCAAAACGTAGAAGTTTTCGGCAAACGTTAGAGATAAGTAAGATCTCTTCCACGTTTTCGGAAGAGCTTCGAAATGTAATCGGTGATTTAAAAATACTTATTGCCTGTGCTTGTCATTTTCAAAGCCAGGAGAAAGGTCGTTACAAAAAACTGAGAAATGGGCAAAATTATGGGGAAATTTTGTTAAAAAAACGGTTCTTTGCGTTGTTGTTTGTTCATACTTATGTCGTTTGTTTGTTCATACTTATGGATGTCGTTTGTTCATACTTATGGTTTGAATGAAGCGTCGTAGTTTTTGCCGATGTTCATGATATTACTTCTGAATTAGGCTAAGTGATGGATAAGCTATTGTACATTTGATTAATCAGGTAACCTGTGACCATAACTTGAGTAAGATATGGGGACTTTTGTAGAAACTTTCAAAATGTGTTCCCTTATGATTACTAGTAAAGAATATCCACCCATATAATAAATTCAATCAGTGGTCAGTTCATTTTTGATTCTTCGTGGTCAAAAAGTTGACAATTCTGTCACGCTTTTTATCTTTTTTTACAAACTTGGGGTTGCAGTTAAGATGCATTGAGTCATGATTATGGATCTAGATTTCGACTATGGATCTAGGTTATGACTAAATTGTGATTGTAGTACCTATGAACTAATTATATATAGGAGATAAGTTGACATCAGTTTCAAGGTCTAAATAAGGTCTAGGTTTCAAAAAGTTTCAAAATCAAAATGCTTGTAAGGTGTCTTATTACCAGTTGGCCCGCTCATTGTACTCACCGACTGTCGTAGACTGTGGCGGCTGTTCTGCTTGTTCTGTCCTGTAGACCTCGTAGGAAGTCCTCCCCCTCCCTTCCGCCGACCCCCTCAGGGACTCCTGGAAGTGTCGCCTCTCCTCCTCCAAGTCATACTCCTTCTTCCTCTTCTTCAGCAGGAAAAAGTTGGGCATCTTCTCCTTTGGGCTCACTCCTCAACTAATGTCGCTTTAAAGTAGTCCCAGCTAAAAGAGTTGTTGTAGTTTTTGGACACCAGGTGTAATGCGACTGGACTCTGCTGATTCAAGGCCGTTGGTTAGTAGTAGTGTAGGGCAGTGACTAATAGGTAAAGTAGTGTAGCGTGGCGGTGCTGCTGGACCAGTTTTAACTGGTAAGTTTAGAGTTAGATAATTTGGCTTCTCTTTTGGCACCAAGATGAAGTATAAAGTGGTTTAATGAAATGTGGCAGTTCTTTATCAATCAATGTTGAGTTATCGTTGTAGTGAAACTCTGTTTAAACAAGGCTCAAGTTCAATTATAATTGGCCGAAAGCCACTGGATACTCCGATGACTCGTTTGTTCTACTATTATAACTTTTACTCGAGTTAGCGCGGCTGATTAATGAAAGTCGAAACTAATCAAATGAACGTCTCAAATGCACACCTGTAATCAAGCTGACCAATATTCCGTCGCTTTCGGTAATTGAGTCTCAGTCCCAGGTGTTTACGGAAATCTGAGTAGACTCATTTTTAGCGCCAAAAAGTTGCTTTGAAATGAAAAAGATTGAATGAATTCGACGTGTTTGAGGAAACGGTTTGAAGTCGACTCGAATTTGAAGTCGTAACTGACCGAAAAGCTGTGAACTGATTTGGATGCGCGTGAACGCGATAACATCTTCCGTCCTAATGAGTCATTGACCCCGACTGCTAAAATGCTCATTCACGCCTCTCTATTTATAGAACAGTAATGGAAGTAAAGTCCAAGGTTATGAGATGCGGTTTAGGGTTATTAAAATAGAAGTTATGGAACCGCTAACGCGGATTTTAGGATTAAAGTATTTGCAACAATGGATGCAGTTTTGATAACTAGTGAATAATTGTACAACATTGTGAAATATGGGACATAATTGCGGTTCCAGCCGATTTTCCAAAGTCAAGGCTACTCAACCTGAACAATACTTCATTAACAGATTACGTAATATAACAGCCGCCACAACCGCTGGGAGAAATTACGCATCGGCTAATGTTACCGGCACTTGTAGTAAAAATGTTGGTTATGTTTTTTTTTCTCACGCGCTACTAGGTCATCTTGGATTCTTTGCTTCAAAATCGGAAGTTTAATCTAAACATTTT